TACTGTTTCAAGAACAGTATCGTGAAAGAGGTTTTAAAAAGTTCAATGAATTAATGAGTATATTACTTGTTGCGGAACAAAATAGTGAACTTTTGTTGAAAAATCATAACCTGAGACCAACTGGGTCTTTGGCCACTCATCATGAGGCAAATGCAACAAATTCCTATCCACCCGAGTCAAATGCTACAAGAAGAGGTGGACGTGGAAATTACAATGGCCGTGGAAGAGGCCGTGGAAATTATCGCGGACGCGGCCGTGGTCGTGGTAGAAATAATTTTCAAAGAAACAGTAATTTCAAAAATTTTGAAAAACAGAAGGGACAGTCATCTGGAAGCCACAAACAAACTCCTTCGAAAGGAAAAGACACATGCTACAGATGTGGCATGACAGGACATTGGGGACGTACTTGTCGAACGGCCAAACATTTGGTAGACCTTTACCAGGCTTCTGTAAAAGGCAAAGAGAAAAATGCAGAAGCAAATTATGTTAATGAGGAAAATGCTCCTTGTCCCAGCCTTGATGTGTCTGATTATTTCATGGATAATGCTGAAATTGGAAATGATTTCATTCTTGGAGAAAACAACAATACTTAGGTTTCTCATCTACTAATGTAACATATGCTATGTTTTAATGTATTTTCTTAGTTCCCTGTATTTTAAATTTCTAGTCATGTACTTTAAATCTCTATCATCAATCAAAGTTTGTATGATATTATTCTAAACTAATCTCAAATTTATTTTATGAAGATATGGATCTACCTGAAGTTAGTTCCGAATATCAATGCCTTTTGGACAGTGGAACAACACATACTATCTTAAAAGATAGAAAATATTTTTCACAACTAAAGTTGTTTCAAGCAAATGTAAACACCATTTCCGGGTCAGCTAAATTAATTGAAGGATCTGGAAAGGCTTGTATAATGCTTCCAAATGGAACAAAATTAATAATCAATAATGCTTTATATTCGAGTAAATCTCGAAGAAATCTCATAAGCTTTAAAGATGTACGCCAAAATGGCTATCATCTAGAAACAATGACAATAGATAAAAAAGAGTATATATGCCTCACGGCAGAAAAACATGGCAAGAAACATATATATGAGAAATTGCCAGCATACTCTTCGGGGTTATATCGTATAAACATACGACCCGTGGAAATCAATATGGTATCTAACCAGAAGTTAGATGAAAAACATTTGATTATTTTATGGCATGATCGTTTGGGACATCCAGCAACTGGGATGATGCAAAGAATAATAGCACATTCAGTTGGACATTCAATAAGAAATGTCAAAATTCCCCGATCAGATGAATTAACATGCTCTGCATGTTCACTTGGCAAACTAATAATAAGGCCATCTATGAACAAAATTGCTACTGAATCTCCAAAATTCTTGGAAAGAATTCAGGGAGACATATGTGGGCCAATTAATCCAGCATGTGGACCATTTCGATATTTCATGGTTTTAATTGATGCCTCTACACGATGGTCACATGTTAGTCTACTTTCAAGTAGAAATGTTGCCTTAGCAAAATTACTTGCCCAAATCATCAAATTAAGAGCACAATTCCCAGATCATACAATAAAGAAAATAAGACTTGACAATGCTGGGGAATTTACATCCCAAACATTTAATGATTATTGTATGTCAATTGGAATTGATGTTGAACACCCAGTAGCTCATGTTCATACACAAAATGGTCTAGCTGAATCACTAATTAAGAGATTACAATTGATTGCAAGACCATTATTAATGAGGTCAAGATTGCCATCATCTGCTTGGGGACATGCTATAATACATGCAGCAGCGCTAATTAGATTGAGACCTACAGCTTATCATAAATTCTCACCACTACAACTTGTTTGTGGTCGAGAACCAAGTATCTCACATCTAAAAATCTTTGGTTGTGCTGTATATGTTCCCATTGCTCCACCCCAACGAACAAAAATGGGTCCACAAAGAAGGCTGGGAATTTATGTCGGGTTTGAATCCCCCTCTATAATTAAATACCTTGAACCATTGACTGGTGACTTATTTACGGCTAGATTTGCGGACTGTCACTTTAATGAAACAGTATTCCCAGCCTTAGGGGGAGAGAAAGTGGACCCACATAAGAAAGAAATTGAACTCATTTGGAATGCAACACAACTGTTGATGTTAGACCCACGAACAAATATGTGTGAACAAGAAGTTAAGAAAATTGTTCATTTACAAAGTGTTGCAAATCAATTGCCTGATGCATTTGTAGACACAAAGAAGGTGACAAATCACATATACCAGCAGAAAATGCCCCTGCACGTATTGAAATCCCAACTGGTAATAAGGCCATAGAAAATGAATCTCAGGCACGCAGAAAGCGTGGAAGACCACTTGGTTCAAAAGATTCTAAGCCAAGAAAATTGAAAAGATTGGATGGAATAGAAAATGAGACTAATGATGTTCCCCCGTCAGAAGGTCAAGAAAAACCAAATGTGGATGAAAGTAAAGAAAATGATGATAATCCAAAAGGGGACGAACAAGAAGACAACCCTACGGGGAATGAACAAGATGTTCAAAACATCGATAACAATGAAATTTCAATGAATTACGTCTCTACAAAGACTCAGTGGAATAGGAAAGATGTTATCGTTAATGAAACATTTGCAAATTCCATCGCAATCGACATCGTGTCTGATGAAAATGATGTTGAACCAAGAACTATAGAAGAATGTCGACGTAGGAGTGATTGGCCAAAGTGGAAGGAGGCAATGTTGGCTGAGTTAAAGTCACTTGAAAAACGAGAAGTTTTTGGGAAGATAACCCTTACACCAGCAGGTGTAAAACCCGTTGGATACAAATGGGTATTTGTAAGAAAACGTAATGAGAAAAATGAAATAGTTAGATACAAGGCAAGACTTGTAACCCAAGGATTTTCTCAAATTCCAGGGATTGATTATGAAGAAACATATTCTCTAGTGGTTGATGCAACTACATTAAGATTTCTGGTAAGTTTGACAGTCACAAAAGGACTGCAAATGCGATTAATGGATGTAGTGACTGCGTATTTGTATGGGTCACTCGGTACGGACATTTACATGAAAGTCCCCGAAGGACTAAAACTACCAGAAAACCACAAGCCTAGACAACTGCTTTCCATAAAACTAAAAAGGTCACTATAAGGATTGAAACAATCTGGAAGGATGTGGTACAACCGTCTGAGTGAATACCTTATGAGAGAAGGATTCAAAAACAACCAAGTTAGTCCCTGTGTTTTCATAAAGCGATCACAATCAGGATTCGCTATCATTGCAGTTTATGTTGATGATTTAAATATCATCGGAACCCCAAATGAACTCGAGAAAACTGCAAAATACTTGATGAAAGAATTTGAGATGAAAGACCTTGGGAAAACTAAATTTTGCCTTGGACTACAAATTGAGCACTTGAGTCATGGCATTTTTGTCCATCAATCAAACTATACAGAAAGAGTTTTGAAACGTTTCTTCATGGACAAAGCAACCCCAACCAACTTCCCAATGGTTGTTCGTTCTTTGAATATGAAAAATGATCCATTCAAACCTCGAGAAGAAAATGAAGAGATTCTGGGTCCAGAAGTACCATACTTAAGTGCAATTGGAACCTTAATGTACTTAGCTAACAATACTAGACCCGACATAGCTTTCTCTGTGAATTTGTTAGCCAGGCACAGCAATGCACCAACATATAGGCATTGGAAGGGAGTTCGACACTTACTCCGGTACCTACGAGGGACACAAGACCTTGGTTTATATTACCAACCAAAACAAGATGCTGCTCTCATTGGGTATGCAGACGCTGGATACTTATCAGATCCTCAAAATGCCAAGTCACAAAATGGATATGTATTCACTTATGGCGGCACTGCAATATCATGGAAATCAACAAAGCAGACATTGACCGCGACATCATCAAATCATGCAGAGTTGATAGCCCTCTATGAAGCAGGACGGGAATGTGTGTGGCTGAGGTCGATGATCAGTAATATCCAAAAGGAGTGTGGAATGAACGCAATAACAGAAGACCCAACCATCATCTTTGAAGACAATACAGCATGTATCGCTCAAGTAACTGAAGGATATATTAAGGGAGATAAAACGAAACATATTGCCCCAAAACTGTTCTTCACACATGATCTGCAAAAGGACGAGGAAATAAATATCCAGCAAATTCAGTCTTGTGAAAATCTTGCCGACCTTTTCACCAAATCACTTCCTTCGAAGAAATTTGAACAGTTAGTTCACAAAATCGGAATGCGACATCTTCGTGAACTATGCTGAGATCAGGGGGAGTATTATATGTACTGCACTCTTTTTCCCTTCGATCAGATTTTTATGCCACCGGGTTTTTCCTGACAAGGTTTTTAACGAGGCAGTATACCAAAGCATATAATACTATATCGTTGTACTCTTTTTCCCTAGCTATGGTATTTACCCCATAAGGGTTTTACCTAGCAAGGTTTTTAATGAGGCAACAAATACCTTTCTGTATAATAAGTATGGGCAGGGGGAGATACTTTTCCCATAAATTATATCCAGCGCAAAAGATACTTTTATTGACAAGGCCACGATTGAAGATCTCAACAGGATTTATTTGGTTCCCTAAAATATGGTTTTATATTAGCCAACAGTAACAAAGAAGAAATAAATATTCTCTGTAATCTTAATTTATGTCACCGAATAATAGTTAATTTTCGTCAACTTTTAATCACCCGTACTGATTGTAAGGATCTTCGATGAAAAAGATGTTTTATCGCATTTTTAAAATGGGAAAAGAAGTTTTACCACTAAGCCGTGTACAATTAATTTTAATGATGTCACGAGTAGTTTTGACCTTCCTAAGTTTGTACAAATAAGTTTTTTCTTTTTTTTTTTTTTTTTTTAACAAGTACAAAGAAGTTTTTTCATGTTCAGTAATTGAAATTTATTGATTGTTCCGATTATTCTAATAAGATTTGGTAAAGGTTACAAGAAAAATAAGCGAGTACTTCAAAATCTTGCACAAAAGAGCAAAAATTCATTGTTAATGTCATTGCAAATTATTCACTTAGGTCTGAATATATACAATTACAGATCTAAAAAGAGGATTCATGAACAAAAATTCCTCTCAAACAATCTAAAAGAATATTGTCGCGAATAAAAATTAACACCTCTAATTTCGATTATGACTAGTAAAGAAAATTCACATCTAAAATTTTGTTTGATGATACACCATGTACTAATTGGGCCATTTCAAAAGCCAATATAATCTCCGATTACCTTCAATCCAATCCATTCTATGGATCAACCCGAAAAACCCATGTAAATTCCGTCGATACTGATTAGCCACAAGGTTGCGTGCATCTTAACCTCCTCGAACCATTCCGAAAGCCCAATCTCCAATTCAAGTCAAACATCTTGAAATTCTATTGATCTCATCCAAAACTCCAACATAATATGAAATTTATATGCATCTTTGGCATAAATTTTGAGCATCAGAATACCAAGTTAACAACCTTCTATGTTGCTGAAACTTGCAAAAATCCTTAACTTTGCTCTTCAACAAATGGGGTTTTAGCTTATCAACATCAGATAATTGCACAGGTTTCAAGAAGAATTCCTCTGCTCCTTCAGCCAAACACCTGTTAATTCTTGCAGGAATATTTTCTGAAGACATAATTACAACCGGAATATCCCTAAATCTTTCTGATTCCTTGATTTTCCTCAATAATTCATACCCTGTCATTCCTGGCATTGAGTAATCTGTGATTATCATGTTAACCTTGTTTGCTAATGATTCGTCGAAACTTCCTTGATTTCCTCTCAAACCCAGAAATTCTAGAGCCTTGTTTGGTGAATCGACTGCGGTAACTGCAAATAATAAGGAATTCAAAGGTTAGACAATATGAACAAACAAACACGAAATAAAGAAATTCTTATACGTGACTCGCCACACCATTTAATAAAGTTTAGAAAAATTAAAGTACCTTGAAATGAGGAAGTTTTGAGGAGTCTCTCAATCAATTTCCTATCAATGATGCTGTCATCAACGGCAAGAACATGAAATTGGGTATCCATAGATTATGATTTTATCTTCCAACTTGAGCTTTTACGACGAATGAAATGAAGTGTAACACTTAAAAAAACAGAGGACGGAAAAATAGTAAAGGCAAAGAAGAGAAAGTAAAGAGAGAATGAGAATAGGAATGATGGAAATAAGGTTGTGTGTTGGAGGGTTTTATTTAAGAGGGAAAGAAAAATAATGATTCAGGAGATTTGGATAGTTGAGGAAAGAGATTCGAAGGGATACGTAGGAGGATCTGCGGGATTTCTTTTGTCGGCTTATTTTATTTTGTGGGGTCGATTAAATTAAAATAAAATAAAGTTGGAATTGATTAAAAAGAGTTTGAATTTTAATTTAATAATTTTGGTACGAGTCTTTTTAGCAATATCTTTATTCTTGATTTTCTAAGATTAGAAAATCTTCGTCAATATAGAAAATATATGCTATACCAAGATCAAGATATCTTGGGTTTTGGGTGGATTTGTTTGACTCTTCGATATAAGGATAAGCCACCATCAACCCATGTTGTGTGGTGAATGGGTTTGCCCTTTGACCAATTCTTTATGTGTTTAAATTATTGGATTTAATTTAATTAATGGGGATGATTGTGATTAAAAATTAGTAATTAGGTTTATCAACTAACGAATCCTATTTTAAGAAACGTTTTGTTTTGAATTAGTATGTCATGCTTGTTTTATGTCATTTAGGTTGCCCCATAGGTAAATTAAACTTTTCATTCTTTTGGTTGGGGTATGGTTGTTTATGATATTTTATAATTTTATTGATTAAGGTTATCCAATGGTACCTATTTCATTTAGCGAAATACCGAAATTGCTCCTTTTGTAATTTTAATAGCCACCAACCCATCCGTCTTAAAATAAACTTCTAAGTAAGATGGACATTCAATAAATATTGTGTATCGGATATTCTAAAGTAATGTTTTTTCAAATTGGTTAGTATCCTCCCTGATATAAAATCTTCTTTTTATAGATGAATATCTAATCTTTACAAAATATTTGCCAATAAATATGGCTCTGCAAATAAAAGTTATTATAACTTTACCCATTATAGAGCTTACTCCCTTAAAATAATTTCTTAAGCTATAATACACAAATTAAAGCTAACATAAATCAAGTGAAAAGCAACATTAAAACTTTACATTATTAATTGAGGTAATAAAGTGTCGTGTGCGTGTTAGAAGATAATCGGATTGGGAAATTTCATCGCTTATTTGACCCGTTTAATTAAATGTGTTGTGTCGCGATGATTCATTTAATTAAAAGTCCGATTCGTGTCGTGTTGTTTTACATCAGACGTTCAAAAGATTTATCATGGATTGCATAAACTATTAGCTACATGGTATCTTCTTAGGTAGGTTGAGTCATTTTAATTTCAGGTAAGAAATCTCTACTTCTAACACACTACTAGAAAAATGTCAATTTCCGACGGATGTGTTCCGACGGACATGAAAATTCGTCGGAAAAAACGAAATTCCCGATGAATTTAAATTCCGTCGAAAATTGTCTGTTTTCTAATAGTGAACACGAACACAACTTGTTTCATTAAACTTGTCGTATTGTATTTAACCACTTAATTATACAACTTATAAACGCTTGACACTAACCCTTATTTCTCTTGTCCAGTGCATATCGTGCTGTCGTATTGTATCAATTATGTCGACTCTAATGTACATTATATTTATTTACTATACACTTGTTGCACTCAAAAGTTTTTGCCTCCCGAGTCCCCTAGCTTCTCTAGGCAACACTGCCCCCACCGTCTCCCAACCACCCTTCCACTCCCCAACCTCTTGCCCTCCCTTACTAGCCCACTCAGGAAAAAAGAGCTAATACAATATTGTAAAAGTAATTAGTTGTATGTGATCTAATTGAACTATAAATTTTATCTTCATTCTACTTATTTGTAAATAATAATGATACATCTATAATTTCAGATTAAAATGGGCGTGTTTTATATTACGAAATATATGTAAAAATTTAAATTATTAGGAGAAAATAAACCACCTTTTTAATCCAAAATTTGTGAAAAATCACCTTTTAAATTTCTTTTTTTTTGTAATAATCAAGAACCACGATTACATACTTTTTATTTCAATTTATTGCATATGAAACATTGACTAAAATATCCAATGTTGACTAAACACGGTCTTTGCACTGCATTACTAATCACCAAAACTTACACCCTCTCCCCCCTCTCTAATTTTCCACTCTTACTCGCGGTTACAACTTCCTCTTTGTTCTCGCTCACTATTCTTCATCAATCCTCACCAAATTTGCAAATCAATTTGACAAGTGCAACAAGTTTATGACATATTGTTCAATGTTGTTGCCAATTGCCCATCTCAACAATTTTCAACCCTTTGATTGAATGATTGTTGACGAGGTTAGTTGTACAGCTTACAAGTTTTAAATATATGAGCAGGGCTTCAACCTTGCTATTGGAACACAACATCTACACTCGATGGTTGAAGGAGATTAAAATGTGACAGTATACCTAAAATAATTATAACGCCATCACCTTTGCCTCAAATCTCAATTCAATTAGCAAATCTTACGAGTGTGACAATATATATGTACTCCATATCATATATCATCCGTTTACTACCACCTACACATAGTAGAAAAGAAATAAAAATAAAAATGTACTTCGCACGTGGGAATATTACATGGTTGGAAATGTAGGGGAAAGTCGTTAACAAAGTCTACTTTATTGAGGGTATGTAAATCAATCTTCTTTAGAAAAGAAACAAAAAAATATTCTCATTGAAAAAAAAAAAAAAAAAAAAAAAGAAAAAGGTTTATCCCAAGCTCCTTGGTGGATCCTTCCAGATCCTTTGGAAAATCTTGGTCCAAATCTGGGGATGCTAACAGGAGGCCCAGCATGAATGATATTGCTATGACAGTTCACCCTATTACCCATTCTTATCGCTGTCCCCTTATCACCATTCTATTTCCAAATCAATTAAAATTAGAGCATGGAGCTCACAATTTTTTTTCAACTTTTTTTAGGGGAAGATGAAGTCAGGTTTAGGGCCCGTCCTTGAGATACGCGGTTCATAATTATATTCGTGGCTTCCCGTGTGTGGATGTGAAAGTAGAGTTAGGCATAGGTCGGACTAAGCAAATCCACAAGGCTACATGTTGTGAGTATGACTCGTACTCAAGTGAGTTAGGTTTAGAACAATTTAAGAAAAACCTATGTTATGGTAGGTTGTGTCAATCTTTCATAAATGAAAATCAAGTGAGCCAGATTTGGAATGATTCAAGAAAACCTATGTTATGGTAGGTTGTGCAGTCAATCTTTCATAAATAAAAATCAGGTACGATCTAACCTATGTGATAATAGATTTTTTTTAGGTCACAAATAGATTGGTTTTGGCATGTCGTACTTGTGCTACATTTTGAAGATAATTAGGGCGGCTAACGCGCACGATGCGCGATGCGCGCATCATAGTTAGCCATGTTCGGAAGTTCTTTTGGTTTGACATTTTTAGTAGAGTTAAATAGTTATGTAAACAAATATTTTTAGGGGTATAAATGTCCACACGCTATTCTTAAGAGGTTGAAAAAAACAATTAACATTAATGAGGACAAAATGACAAATACATAAATAAACATTTTAGGGACAACATAATCATCTCAACACTATTCATAAAGTGCGGTCATACTTTTAAAAGAGATAAATACGTAAATAAACATTTTTAGGGGCATAATAGTCTCAACACTATTTATAAGAGTTTAGTTTACTCAAACTTTTAAAACGGTAAGGATGTCTAACCAGTGGCGGCGGTTCAAGGATTTTTCCCTTATGAGTTCGGAGTGTCAGCTCGAAGTTATCGAACATATATAACATAATATAGTTAACTGATTTATATCGGTAAATATAATATAAAACGTGTACGAAATAAAAATATGATTGTGTAAAATAAAATTTAAGCTTTGATTTTAATGAAAAGGAAGCAATATATATATATTTACCGGCTAGTATATAAAATGTTAAACAAAAAGTATGATTGTGAAACAATATATACGCAGTATTTGTATATTCTTTGATTTTAATGAAAAGTAAAGCAATATACAAAAAAAAAAAAAAATGTAACCAAAACAAATCGTTAAAAAAGAATGTTAAAAACGTGAAGTAAAAATAACTTGTTTAAAAAATTAGAAAGGGGTTTAGCAGGTTTCGATCCCGTGCCAACAAGCTTATTGAAAGTATTTCACTTGTAGTGCTTAACCGCTGAACCAAGAACATGCATTGCAATTTATGGCAGCTGTTTTTGTATTTAACCTATATTTGTGGTTTCTTCAAATTAGAATTTTCCCCAAATCTAGTATGTGTTCAGGAACCCACTGAACCCATACTGGAACCACCAGTGCGTCTAACCACATATATCTTGTGTCATGCTAAGCTTGTGAAAGGCTCATGATGGGTTGATTCACTTTTGTGTTGTGTCTATCAGATTGTAGGGTCAGCTCGACCCATTGTCCAACTATTTGTAGAAGTGTTGCACATTTAAATTAAACCCAAGGAGTCGCAAGCTAAACTAATCAAATTCAAAGTAATACTCCCTCCATTTCAATCTACAAGGTTATACCTTGCTAATGCATAAGATAATTATTTCTAACATTGATTGATATTTATTAGGATTAATTAGACCTGATCAAGTATGGCCCGGCCCGACCCTTTTTTTTGGGCGGGTTAGGGAATGCGTTTTTATGCATATTTAGTTGATTTTTTAGGCCCGGCCCGAAAAGCCCGACCATTTTGGGCGGGTTTTGGCACAAAAATTTCGGCCCAAAGCTTGGCCCGGCCCGGACCGAGAAGTGGGCAAATTTTTTTAGCTCCGACCCGGCCCGCCCAATGATCACCTCTAGGATTAATACCGCTTTTTAATCCCAACTTTCACCAATTTATTTTCATTAATCCCAACTTTGGATTATTCCTCAATAATCCCAACTTTAAGGTGGCCTATCATTCTTCATACCCAACCGGTAACTAAAAATATTATATCTGGTCACTTGACACGTGTCAAGTCCTGATTGGTCTAAAAAAAACCAAAAAAAACCACAAAAAAAAAAACCACAAAATCAGAAAAACCCGGCTAACCTCCCCTCCCCCACCGTCCCACCCTAATTTCCACTACCACTGCCCAGTCCGCCGCCCCTCCCTTCGCCGGAACGCCGCGTCTCCCCTACCCCT